GGGGGGGGGGCAAGTGGGTGGGACAGTGCCTCTTTGAGTGGATGGATGAGAGTGGAGGGGTGATGGTCGCGTTGATTGACTGGTGCTTCATGACCAGTGGCAAAGCTCACATAGACACATTGACCTCTACCTTCAGGTGACGCGGCTCTGTGACCTCTCGGTGGAAGGGGACTCAGTGACCTCCGTGGGCTGGTCTGAACGGGTGAGTGTAGAGGGCTTGTCCCCGACCTGGGAAGTCTGTTGGGGCCCTTGACAGTGTTGGTATCTTGCAGACCCAGAGGGGCCAGTGTGGACCCTGAAGTCTTTGGTGTCCAAGCATAGTTCTGTGTTCCCCATCGTCCCTGGCCTTGGTGTGGTGTTGGTAGAAGGAGTAACAAGAGCAAGTAGGGACCCGGCAGCCCCCGAGAAAGGATGGCAGGACCAGTGGGGAAACAACACCCCAGTCCTGCCGTGGGGTGTGTCCAGTCTGGGACTTGCTCCCCTGGAGCTGCAGTTTCTACTCAGCGTCAAGTGGGCTATAGTTCTGTTTCAGATTATGATGAAAACATCCCAGCAGCGACTTTGAAGCGTGTCACGGGGAGGGTCTCTACTCCACCCAGAGCTGCCCAGGGCTCGTCCTAGTGGTGGAGGGTCACGCACCCTGAGTCTGTTGGCTGGACTCTGTCAAACCCTGGCACAGTGTCCGGGGCATGCCCGCCACCCCGGAATGTGCTGACAGGGTGTAAGCTTCATCAAAGGGACGTGCATTCAGGGGTTTTTAGGGAAGCCATCCAGAGCCCTGGTGAGCAGAGCCCAGGCTGACCAGGTCCAGGCTGGGCAGAGTCCTTGGGCCAGACCTGACCCTGGTGCTCTGGCCGTGCCTTCTGTCCTAGGGGAACCTTGTGGCGGTGGGCACACACAAGGGCTTTGTGCAGATTTGGGACGCAGCCGCAGGGAAGAAGCTGTCCATGTTGGAGGGCCACACGGCACGCGTTGGTGAGGAGCCTGGGTCCTGTGGTGGGTTAGCTCCCCAAAGCCCCAGCTCCCTGAGGCCAGGAGAGGCTCACCCCTGCTTCCGCCTGGCCTCCAGGGGCGCTGGCCTGGAACGCTGACCAGCTGTCATCTGGTAGCCGGGACCGCATGATCCTGCAGAGGGACATCCGCACCCCCCCGCTGCAGTCAGAGCGGCGGCTGCAGGGCCACCGCCAGGAGGTGTGCGGGCTCAAGTGGTCCACGGACCACCAGCTTCTCGCCTCGGGGGGCAACGACAACAAGGTATGCGTGCCCAGAGCCTGGCTTCCCTCCCAGAAGCTGCAGCCCTCACGCTGGCAGTGATGGCGGAGCCTGGGCTGGGGACAGGCGTGGAGCCCACTCCACAGCCGTCGGCAGGGCCTCGGGTTTGTCCCTCCTGCTCAGCCAGTCCCGCTCTGTAGCACACGGTGACGAGCATGTGTCCCCAGGAGTCCTTGAGGGAGCAGCAGGAAGGGCGTGGGGTAGGGTACCAGGGCAGGTCTTCACTCCTGTGGGGACCAGCGTATGGGACCACAGGGCTGGGACAGCCCCGGCCTCACAGCCCCTGTCCCGTAGCTGCTGGTCTGGAATCACTCGAGCCTGAGTCCTGTGCAGCAGTACACAGAGCACCTGGCAGCCGTGAAGGCCATCGCCTGGTCCCCGCACCAGCACGGCCTGCTGGCTTCGGGGGGCGGCACGGCCGACCGCTGCATCCGCTTCTGGAACACGCTGACGGGGCAGCCGCTGCAGTGTATCGACACGGGCTCCCAAGTGTGCAATCTGGCCTGGTCCAAGCACGCCAATGAGCTGGTGAGCATGGGCAGCCCGGCCGCCTTCCACCAGGCCTCGGGATGTGCGTCCCGCCGGTCCCTTGCCATCTGACAGCAGCCGGTGGGGAAATGGGTCAGAGTTGCTCTGAAGGGAGATGGGCGAAGGAGGCGGGGTGGGGAGGCAGGGATCTCTGTGGGGTGGGGCAGGGCCCCTGGGCCCCATCAGGACCTCACCTGGGGCAACACTCAGGCTTCTGGGCCCCCTTTGCAGCCACACCTGGTGGCTCTGTGAGGAGCTGGGGAGCTCCGATGGTTGCCTCTGCTCGGAGAGGCGGCCCAGGACGAAGTGGGCTCTGCTGACACGCTGTCCTGCCCCAGCCGCTCTGGGCTGTGTGTCCCCAGCACAGATGCAGGGATGACTTGCAGGTGGGGCAGAGGGGCCGTGGGCCCTCTGTGGGTCGTTTTTGGGCTCCAGCCTTTTGAAGTGGGTTGGGGGCGCCGAGCTGTGGCCTCCACACCTCCCAGACGGAGCCGGAGGTGGAGCCACAGCCCGCATCCCCTGCTCCTCCCCGGCTGGCTGGCAGCTCCGAGCTCTCCTGTGGACTCGGGTTGGGTGTGTGTGGGGCGGCAGGCATCACACCCAGCCTCGTTCCCCGCCACTGACCACAGTGCCCTCTCCCACCTGCAGGTGAGCACGCACGGCTACTCGCAGAACCAGATCCTCGTCTGGAAGTACCCCTCCCTGACCCAGGTGGCCAAGCTGACTGGGCACTCCTACCGCGTGCTGTACTTGGTGAGTGCATACCGGGCGCTTCAAGGTGCCCGGGGATTCTGGAAAAAGTGCCAGCCATGGCTGCTCCAGAGCGCCCCCCGTCCTGTGTTCCTAGGGAGGACAGTGTGCAGATCTAAAACCCCACGGGATGCAGCAGCGGGGCTGGCCGTCGGGGCATCCAGTGCTGGTTGAATTGCCAGCGTTGGCGTGGGCTTTACCAGCTCCCAGCCCTGCAGGTGTGGGCCCTGTCCTCCTGGAGGACCTCAGCCTCTTCATGTGTTTATTTTCCCCAAAAAGAGGGGTGAAGAGGAAAGCCAGAGATGACTCACAGCTGACCAGTCAGATGAACCTGTGGACCTCCTGCACAGCAACCGTGTGCACGTGGCTGGAAGGGGGCCAGGAGGCCTTCTTGTCCCCTTGTGCCCTTACTCGTCAAGGTTTTGTTTCTTCACTGAGAACGTGTTCTCTGCTTTCATCCGCACATCTGACTGTACCCTTCTTCATTTGTGCAGAGTTGACTCTCCCCCCTTGCAAGGGGGTGTTCTTGATGTTTTAGCAAAAATGCTCCAATCTTGGCCAGGTGCAGTGGCTCACACTTGTATTCCCTGCACTTCAGGAAACCAAGGTGGGAGGATGGCTTGAGCCCAGGAGTTCAAGAGCAGCCTGGGCAACATAGCAAGAACCCATCTCTGCAAAACGTTCTTTTACATGAGCCAGGTGTGGTGGTGTGCACCCGTAGTCGCAGCTATTCAGGAGGCTGTGGTGGGAGGATCACCTGAGCCCAGGAGATCAAGGCCACAGTGAGCCAGGATCGCCCCACTGCACACTTCAGCCTGAGTGACAGAGCCAGATCCCGGGATGAAAAAAAAAAAAACAAAAAACTCCAACCTTGGTTTCTGCCCATGGTGACCCTGGCCTGCCCCTCCTTCCTGGCCCGAGTCTGAGCTCTGCCCATGCAACCTGGGTTGGGTGGCCCAGCCACCCCACACCTTGCTCCCCCTCCTTCAGTCCCCCAGCACTGTCCCAGAGGCATCTCAGAGACCCAGAGACATGGGGTGCTTCCCTCCTGTCCACAGGCAATGTCCCCTGACGGGGAGGCCATCGTCACTGGTGCTGGAGATGAGACCCTGAGGTTCTGGAACGTCTTTAGCAAAACCCGTTCGACAAAGGTAAAGTGGGTCGGTATCAGCGCCACTCGCCCCCACCCCCGCCCCAGCCCCAGCCTGTCCCACGGCCGTCCCTGTCCCCACTGTGTCCTCGGGCATACCCTCCCCTGGGTTCCCCCACCTCCGAGCTCCCCTCACCTCGCACTCTAGGTCATGTGTCGGGGGTAGTGCAGCAGGCCGAGGCTGGACCAGCACTTCTCAGACCCTCACCACCAAGCCCCACAGCCTCAGTTTCCCTCCAGGCAGCTTTTCCCGGGGCTGTGGCTTAGCGTCCCCCACCCCATGTGTCTGCAGGAATCTGTGTCTGTGCTCAACCTCTTCACCAGGATCCGGTAAACCCGCCGAGCAGGACCGCACCACACCAGCCATCTGGGGCCAGAGGACCCCAGCTCTTCAGCTTGCATGGACCCTGCCCTTCCAGCGCTTGTCCCCCAAGGAAGGCGGCCGGGCGGGCGGGGAGCTGGGCCTGGAGGATCCTGGAGTCTCATTAAACGCCTGATTGTGAACCATGTCCACCAGTATCTGGGGTGGGCACGTGCTCGGGGACCCTCAGCATTGGGGGCTCCGTCCCACTTCTCAGAGGGCAAGAACCACATTGGACGGCCCCAGCTCGGACTGTCTGTGCTCAGAGCAACGGATGCCCCCTGGGACCCTCACTGCTTCTGTCTATTGGGCACCTGCCCGCCAAGGCCGCATGCTCTTCCTGGAACTGCCCACATCTTCAGGGAACAGACCAGATGCCCCGGCTGCCGGTTCACAGCTGTAGTCCCTCTGTGTTGAACCCAAGGCCAGACCAAGACCTGAAGGCCTGTGGATGCAGGAGACACTTCCCGCCTGGATTTCACCTTGCAGCCACCTCTGCTGTCACTTCTCCAAACAGTGATCTTTCTTGGAAGCATCTGTGTCATGGCTATTGCCTGGCAGGCGGTGGGCTTCGGACGGGCCTGTGCATCCCAGCTGAGCATTACCCTCACACCAGAGGAGGACATCTGCTCTGGACTCGTCACCCTGGGAGAACTGATGCCGGGCCTGCTCACCGCGCAGGCTAGAGAGTGTGACAGGTGCTGTGTCCTTGTGCGTTCGCCAACTCGTGCCCTCACGGTGTCCAGCATCCCCCTTGCCTGCGGCGTGAGACTCGCGTCCCTGAGCCTGCTGGGTGGCTGGGTCCTGTGGAGGCCAGCAGTAGTGCAGCTGCCGCCTGTGTCTTGGCCTATCCTGTCCGTTGGCGCTGGTAGCCGTAGGGAAGCCAGGGAGGCCCGAGGGGCCCAGGAGGTGGATGCCCTTTGTCCTTCCAGAAGCTTCTCGTGCTCCCAGACCACGAGGCAGGCCAAGAGGGAGGCAAGGCCAGGTAGTGGAGCCTAAGCTGAGCACAGCCCCCGCCCGTCCCTCTGCCCCGCCTTCCCATTTCATAGGTAGGGACATGGAGAGGGTGGGGCGGGCTGGGGTTGGAGGGTCCCATCTGCCACCCTGCTGCACTTGGGAACCTGCACCCCTCGTGTCCTGACAGCCTGGCGTCCCCAGCGGGGCTGGTGTGCATGTGTACATATGTATTTGTGACTTTTCTTTGGATTTGTTTTGTGTTTTTGTTGACTGGTCCTGGAAATGTTTGAGGCTGGATGAGGAGGGGCAGGGAGCCTGGACCCGCCCACTGCTCCTCGGGGGTCGGGTCCCAGTTTTAAAGCCCCGTCATTTCAAGTGGGCCGATCTTCCACATTCGCTGGAGAGGCGCTCTCCACCTTTCTCTGGGCAGGTCGCGGACCCCTCTAGGCCCTCCTGCAAGGTGGGGGCTGGTGCGCGTCGCAGTGTGGATTTTGAGTGGTCAGGGTCTTAGTGTTTCACCTGTTTTTTTTAATAAGAAAACAAACCCTGCCTTTGCCCATGCACACCCTGCCCACAGTTGCCCATGCAGTTGCCAAAGATCAGCCTTATCGCCGTGGGCTCCAGGCCCCTGCCAGCTCAGTGCACAACCCACTTGGGACTCTGGCGGCCCCTCCTGGGACTGGGAACCGCCACAGGTCCAGGTGGGAGGACGCGCGATTTGTGTTGGGGGCTGGTTCTGTCCATGCTGGGGGTGGAGGAGCCCCCAGGACAGGAAGGCCTTGTTTCTCATGTCATGCAGTGATGCTGTCATTAAACACGTGGATTCACCCGTGGCTGGGGCTGGCTGGCTGAGGGTCCCCGGCTAGGGCAGGGTCACACGGTCCTGCCCTGGAGCCCCTGTCTGGCCCTGGAGCTGCAGAAGCAGCTTCTGACGGGCTTCCCAGGCCGGCATTTCAGATGGGGGACTCAGCCCCCGAATCCCACAAGAAACCGCTTCTGGGCCCATACACCAGGGCACCGGCCACAGTCCTGTGGCACCAAGGACTGGACCCCAGCGGGTCCCTGCACCCTAGCCGGATGGCCCTGTTCTGGGGAGGAGGTGCTCGCCTGACTCCATCGGTTGACACCAGGGAGGGAGGCTGGAGGCACTGCTGGGCTGAGGTCACCCCAGGGCTGGCAGATGAGGGCCAGGAGGGACAGATCAAGTGGGGCGTGAAGGCTTTGGTGGTGGGAGGGGCCCACGGTGATGGGGCAGGGCTTGTGTAGAATGGGGGCTTTGGTTCCCCACAGGCCAGGACAGCCGAGAGGGACTGGAGGGTCCCCAGGGGAGCAGATGTCAGGCCTGGGGAGCACGTGGGTCACACAGCAGTGCTGGGGCAGGTGTCTCTGCTGCCATGTCCATATGACAGGCAGAGCAAGGCCAGTGGGGCCATCACTGCCAGGGCCAACCCTGGCAGTGGCTGGGAGATGCCTGGATGGAGGGAGAGGCTGACCAAGGTCCCCATGGGGTGGGCTGCAGCTTTTCCATTGATCCTGGAACGTAGCTGTTGTGTTGAGAGGGAAAGAAAATTGAGAAGAAAAAATCAGGGGCCGCAGGTCCTGCAGTGAGACAGATGCAGGAGGCAGGAACCTGGCCCAGGGGTTGCTGGCACCTTGCTGGGGCTGGGAGGAGGCTGGGGGAGGCAGGCGGCCTGGGGGCCAGGGGCTGCAGGGAGTCCCCAGGTGGTTTTGAGGCTTGCTTTTGCATGGTGCCTGAGAGGAGGCAGGTACCATCCTGGGCACTGGAGATGAGGGAACACCTGTGTGGAGAGGGCATGGTGGGCAGCCCGGAGACAGCAGCTCATGAGGACACAGGGCGGCAGTGCCACGAGGACAGGGAGGGCCCCGGGAAAGGATGGCCTTGGATCAGGGGCTCACCACAAGCCTAGCATTTCAGCCAGGGGTGGAAGAGGCAGGGATGCCTGGTTGCCAGGCAGAGGGCGCAGCTATGTAAATGCCCCAGGGCAGGATGGCGCCCGGTGTGTGTGAGGGGCAAAGTGAGGAGGGCAGGGCAGGCAGTGTCTGGTGGGCCTCAGGGAAGACTTGGGCGCTCACCCCAAGTGAGTTGGGGACCCTGGGTGTGTGCCCTGGGAAAGGCAGGGTCGGCTCTGTGGGGACCTGACGCAGGGGCAGAGGAAGCCGATACCAGGGTGCAGGCTCTGCCCCCACCCAGGCCGGATTCGACCCAAGACGGGGCCCTCTGGCTGAGGAGGGGCAGGGCAGGAGGGTTCTGGATGTTTCCTGGTTTTTGTTGTATGATTTTTTTTATTGTGGTAAAATATACACAAAATCCACCATCTTACAGTAAGCAGTTCTGTGGCTGTGCAGCCATCGCCTCTGATTCCAGAACATTCTCATCACCCAAAAGGCAGCCCCGTCCCTATCACATCACCTAGGCACCCCTGGGTCCCCCTCCCCAGTCCCGGCACCCATGAATCCTCTCCGTGCTGCTGTGGTTCAGCCTGTCCTAGACATTTCTTATAAATGGGATCACGGTGTGCCCTTCTGAGGGCTCGCTGAGCATGACGTCCTCAAGGTGCATCCGTGCTGTGGCCCGGGTCAGAGCCTCACTCCTCCTTGTGGCTGAGACTCGTTCTGGTGTGTGGGTGGCCGTGCGTTGCTGATCCCCTCACCCTCAGTGGGTGTTTGCATGGTCTCTGCCTTGGGCTGTCGTGAATCGTGCTGCGTGAGGCACCGCGTACCGGTCTCATCCTGAGTGTATTTTCCAAAGGAACTGCATGCGAGTGGCTGAGGAGGGGTTGGGGCATCAGGTACCTGCGCGGGCGTTGCCTCCTGGATGGGAGGTGCACGAGGAGACAGAAGCCCCTCAAGGGGGTGTGGTGATGGGGAGGCTAGGCCCCCGGCGGGTGGGGGGGTCGCGTGGAACTGGAGGCGCAGAGCTGGGGGCTTATGGCCACAGACCTCACCTGGCACTGGTCCTGGCCTGGCCTGCCCACACTGCGTCACGCTCTGTCAGATATTGCCAACAACTTTCCAGCCTCCCCTTCCTTGGGGCTGCCTCACCCTGCAGTTGGGAGGAAGGAGTGGTCAGCGCGGTTGCCGGGACACTGGGCGGCCTTTATGCTGTCAGCGGTGGCCTCAGAGGCCTTCCTGGCAGGAGCCCTGGGGACTCAGGAAGACAGGCAGACATGCAGACCCTGAGGCGAGAGGCTGCCGGGCCCTATGTCCCCACGGGGACCCTCGAGACCAGCTTCCCAGCACCTCTCTACAGGTGAGTCCCCCCCAGCTAGCCAGATGCTAAGGGACCCTCCCTCCCAGGGTGTACGGTGTCACTCGGGTGTCAGGTGTCACTCTGGGGTCTTGCATGTGTCACTCAGTATTCCTAAAAGGCTCATGTGTGTGATGGCCCCTCCAGCCTGACGTCACTCACTGTGGCAGCCACAGACTTGGAGACAGGCCGAGAGCAAAAGTGTCTGTGGCCGTTTCCAAGGCCGCAAACGCACTGGGAGTTTTCACCACAAAGACGCCTTCTGAAATCAGGCGTGCGCAGGGCTGGGTCCTCCTGTGGCTGAGGTCTGCCCTGCGCCCCTCGCAGCACCAGGCACTCCTGGCCCCCGGTCCCTGCTTCTGTCTTCACCTGGCCTTCTTGTGTGCGTCCACGTTTTCCTCTCCTTAGAAGGGCACCAGGCACTGGATTCAGGCCCACCTTAACACGGGTACCTCATCTTAGCTGCAGCTACTAAAACCGTTTCCAAACAAGGCCGTGTCCTGGAGCTCTGGGCAGATGTGATTTGGAGGGTACAACAGTCACCCCAATACAGTCTGTTAGCAGTTGTTTAAATGATTATGGAATACTGTGCAGCTATGGGAAAGAAGACGGAAAGCCCTTTGCTGCATTTCCAAGGGAAGAAATCAAAACAAACCAAGATGGTGGCTGGGCATGGTGGCCCACAGCTGTAACCCCAGCACTTTGGGAGGTTCACTTGAGCCCAGGAGTTCAAGACCAGCCTGGGCAACACAGTGAGATCCCATTTCTTATTTTTTTTTAAAAGACAGAGTTTTGTTCTTGTTTCCTGAGCTGGAGTGCAAAGGCGTAATCTTGGCTGACTGCAGCCTCCGCCTCCCGGGTTCAAGGATTCTCCTGGCTTCCCGAGTAGCTGGGACCACAGGTACCTCCCACCATGCCCAGCTGATTTTTATATTTTTAGCAGAGATGGGGTTTCACCACGTTAGCCAGGCTGGTCTTGAACTCCTGACCTCAGGTGATCCACTCACGTCAGCCTCCTAAAGTGCTGGGATTACAGGCATAAGACACCACACCCAGCCGTGAGACCCATCTGTACAAAAAATTTAAAAATCAGCCAGAGGGCCAGGCATGGAGGCTCATGCCTGTGATCCCAGCACTGTGGGAGGCCGAGGCAGCATTATCACTGAGGTCAGGAGTTGGAGACCAACCTGACCAACATGGTGAAACCCCGCCTCTACTAAAAATACAAAATTAGTTGATCATGGTGGCACATGCTTGTAATCTCAGCTACTTGCGAGGCTGAGGTGGGTGGATTGCTTGAGCCCAGGAGGTCACGCCTGCATTGAGCTGAAATTGTGCCACTGCACTCCAGCCTGGGCAACAGAGTGAGACACTATTTCTACTAAAAAAAAAAAAAAAAAAAATGGAGATGCAGTGACCCGGGCTACTGTCAGTGTGGAGTAACAAGGTGGAGGGGGCACTTGCCACCTGCCCCTGGAAGGAGACACCAGGAAGTAGTAAGTGGCAGGTGGGTATGGGGCCAACAGCGGGGAGAGGGGCTCACTTCTCACTGATTATTTTGTTTTAATTGCATGTTTTTTTTGAGATGGACTCCCTTTCTGTTGCCCAGACTGGGCGCAATGGCGAGATCTCGGCTCACTACAACCTCCACCTCCACCTCCCGGGTTCAAGCACTTCTCCTACCTCAGCCTCCCAAGTAGCAGGGACCACAGGCACCTGCCACCACGCCCATCTAACCTTTTTATTTTTAGTAGAGACAGGGTTGCACCATGGTGGCCAGGCTGGTCTTGAACTCCTGACCTCAGGTGATCCACTCACCTTGGCCTCCCAAAGTGGAGAGCCGGGACCGTGCTCCCACACAAGGCACAGATGAAAGTGTTTCTATTCCTGCTGGGACTACACGGGGCCAACCACCTTACTCTTTGGGGTGACTTCCTTGGGACATATTCCCAAAAGCAAAGTCACAGCATGAAACATCTTTAAGTCTCTTGTCTTTTTTTTTTGAGACGGAGTTTCGCTCTTGTTACCCAGGCTGGAGTGCAATGGTGCGATCTCAGCTCACTGCAACCTCTGCCTCCCAGGTTCAGGCAATTCTCCTGCCTCAGCCTCCTGAGTAGCTGGGATTACAGGCACATGCCACCACGGCCAGCTAATTTTTGTATTTTTAGTAGAGATGGGGTTTCACCATGTTGGCCAGGCTGGTCTCAAACTCCTGACCTCAAGTGATTCATTCGCCTCAGCCTCCCAAAGTGCTGGGTTTACAGGTGTAAGCCACATGCCTGGCCAAGCAGGTCCCCTAGTCCTCCCAAGGCCATGGCTCCACTTCTTCCTGGTGCACCTCCAGGCCAGGGGGGCTTCCCAGAGGAAGGGACTTGTGGATCTTGGAGGCTGGACAAAGACTGTAGGAACCCAGGAGTGGCCAGGGCCCTTGACCTTTTCCCTCCCTGGTATATCTTCTCCAGGCAAGAAAAGCTCAGAACAGAAGGGTTTAGTGCTGGCCGAGTGCAGTTGCTCACGCCTGTAATCCCAGTACTTTGGGAGGCCGAGGCGGCGGCTCACGAGGTCAAAAGATGGAGACCAGGCCAACATGGTGAGACCCCGTCTCTACTAAAAATACAAACATTAGCTGGGCATGGTGGCAGGTACCTGTAGTCCCAGCTACTTGAGAGGCTGAGGCAGGAGAATCGCCTGAACCCGGGAGGCAGAGGTTGCAGTGAGACGAGATGGTGCCGCTGCACTCCAGCCTGGTAACACAGCCACACTCCATCTCAAAAAAAAAAAAAAAGTTTAGTGCTGACCTGGGTACCAGGGGTGGGATGTGTGGGGAGAGAGGGGGTCAGCCTCTCTCCTCTGCCACCCGCTGTGGGGTGAGGGGTCCAGGGCCAAAGGACAGACACCAAGTGGGGAGGGAGGGTGGCTCCATGCTGTGGGCCAGGGCTCTACACCCTCCACCCTGGCAGACATTGAAAGCGCCCGTTGTAGAGACGGGCTCAGTCTCTGCCCCACCGCCCACCCTCAGCGATGACTACCTGTCCCTGGAGGGGCCACGCTGGGCACCGGCCATCAAGCAGGCCACACGCTGGAAGTACACGCCCATGGGACACGACGCAGCCGGCCAGCTGTGGTACACGGGCTTGACCAACTCGGACTCCCGGGAAGCCTGGTACAACCTGCCCTCAGCCCTGGACCGCCCCTTCCGTGAGGCCTACAACCGCTGGCACGGCTGCTACCGACACCGCGAATGCAGCCTGCCCTCGGGTGAGTGCCCACCCTCCCCACCCTGGGTGCCAGGCCTGCTCCAGGGGGACAGGAATGATTGCCAGCCCCCATCCCGCTGCAGCCTACACCCAGCACCTGCGGGAGACTGCCTGGCATGACCCCATCGTCCCCGCCCAGTACCTGGACCCCAGCACCCGGTGGGGGAGCATGCTGTGGAAAGACAGGCCAATCCGGGGCAAGGACTACGGTGAGGCCATGGGCAGCTCCCCGGGAGGCCATGGGGACAAGGCCACCTAGGCCAGGGTGAAATTGCCCAGGGAGGCCCGGGAGCCCCTTGCTGGCCGAGGGTGAGGAAGGGAGGCTCGCAGTGACCCCGGTCCCACCTGCAGTGGTCAACAGGAACCGGTATGGGGTGGAGCCTCTGTGGAGGGCATCGGACTACGTGCCCTTCCTGTCCCTGCCCCAGCGGCCACCGCACACCACCCAGAACTACTTGCAGTGGGGCCTGGAGCCATACTGCCCCTCCACCGGCCAGCGGCTCCCACCCGGCCCCACACCTGCTCCCCGATAAACACATGCTTCCACGACACACCTGCAGTCTTTCTGCACCCAAAAGACGGTGGCTACCCACAACTAGGGCACAGCCGAGATGCCCAGGCTACCCTGCCCTGGGCCACCCCTGCCCGGCAGACACAAGCCAGGCTGCCTTCATGTCTTTATTTGCTGCCAGCAGAGTCCACCAAGCCCACCGGGCAGTCCCGCTGCCCACCATGGCGGGGTCCAGGCCCAGCCCACCACCCCATGGCTGGGGCTCCTGCCGGCTCCAGCCATCCCCAGGCCAGAGGTGAGGGGTGAACTGTGCTGGGGTTAGGGTTCCCCCAGACCCCTCTGGGGTTCCTACTTCCTGCTGAGAGGGGCACCCCAAGTCCTCCAGAGGACTGAGATGGATTAGAGTTGAGAATGGGGCAACCTAAAAGCCCAGGGATCCTTGCAAACCTCTGGATTCATTCCCGCCGCCTTCACCCTGACTCCCATCCCCGGAGCCAGTGGGGGTGGGGGGGACTTAGCCCCTAGACGCTGGCAGCATCCTCGTGGGTCCCCACATTTCCCTTGCACAGGTACAGGAGGCGTCAGCACTCAGGGCTGGGTTTCTGGGTCCCCTGCCAGGGAGGGGTGGAAATGGCATTAGAGAAGGTGGGGTGGGCCCCATGCTTGCCCCTGGTGTGGTCAGCATCTGAGGAGGGAGGGGTGGTACAGGACTCACAGCGTCGCAGGCGGATGGGCCACAGCAGGAGGCTGCAGAGACACAGGGCGGCAGCCACGCCCACGCCGCCAGTCACAGCCACCATCACCCAGTGGTAGAAGGTCACGCAGGCCCTGCAGCAGAGCTCCGACCTGTGGGAGGCAGGGGCCTAGTGGGCACCACAGGGATGACCCCACCCTACCTGGAAGGGTTCCTCCTGTCCAAGCTGGAAGCTGAGGGTCAGCCCCCCCCAGCCTCCTTCCCCACACCCAACAGGATGGCCAGTTCTCTCCACCCCTTCTCGCCCTGTCTCCACATGGTCCAGGCCCAGTGGGGCCCACCTGTACCTACCTGCCCAGTCCCCTCACCCCCACCAGAGGGCAGCTGTGAGTGCCTGTCCCTCTGCCCACAGCCCACCCTCCTCGGGTCAAAGCCCAAGCCCTCCCCATGGCCCACCAGGCCCTGTGCGACCTGCCCCCTCCCTCTCTTCCCTGTGCACACCATGTGTGGCCCCTCCCCATTGACCTGGAACGGTTTGACTTCCTGCAAGTGTCAGGTCCACATCCCCTCCTCCAGGAAGCCCTCCCTGGCATCCTGTCCTGGCTGCCCAGGCCTCTACAGGCGTGAATGCTGGGAGGCTGCGTCTCCACCCATCCTTGTCTGAACCCCTTCCTCAACACGCGGGCGGGCGGACGACACTCACGGACAGGGATGTAGGCTCTGGATGGCCATGACTGCCAGCCCGTTGGCCACCTTATCGGAGAAGCTCATGGAGCCATACACGAACGCGCCGCTGTTCTGGGGGGACACGGGTGGTCAGCATGCACCCCGAGTTCTACGCCCAGCCCCCACCCCGGCCACCAGCCTTACCGTGTGGGAACCAATGAGGTCGGCTGTCATGGCCAGCGAGGTGACGAGGATGGTGGCACAGCCAGCACCCAGCAGCACAGCTGCTGCGTACACGGCCACACCCAGCCCCTCCGAGAGCGCTACCCAGGCAGCAAAGGCCAGGATCACCAGGAGGCCCAAGAAGTAGGTCATCTGCAGGGGACAGCCCCGGGGTCAGGCCCACGCTGCTGGGTGCCCCCGAGCCTGGCGCTTGCCCTCTCAGGTCGTCAATCCACCACCCCTTACCCTGCAAACAAGGGGCGTGAGCTGGACGGTCACTAAGGAGCCCCGGCTCTGGCCTCAAGAAATCCCAGGCTCTGAGGCCCAAGAGAACTGCCAGGTGGAGCTGTGCGCTCTGTCCACGCGGCGGTAGCTGGAATAGCGTGGCTATTCCGCCTAAAGGCAGGTCAGGTACACAAAAGCAAACGAGTGGCACAGGGAGGACAGAAAGCTCCAGAGCTCTGCCGCCACGACAGTGTGAACTTGAGACACACAGAGGCCAGGGCTCCTGGTTCCCAGATCCGGGGCTTCTACAAAGTGGGAACCCCGGCTGCAGGGCACCCCGTCCACTCACGTTCCTCCCGATGCACTTGTTGATGGGCTTCATAAGGAAGGACGAGAAGAAGCCGCTGAGGTACATCACAAGGGGAATCGTCGCAATGAACTTCTGCAGGGCAGAGCCAGGCACGGCGTGTCCATCACGGCTTGCCAGGCTGGGGCCGTCCCACCCCAGCGCCCCCGTCCCAATCTACTTACCTTGGGCAGGTTGAGAGAGTAGGTGAGATACATGGCCATATAGGTCTGAGACAGGTTGACGATGAGCCTTGTGGTCATGTACAGCATGCCCGCCTGTGGGCAGACCAACAGAGGGACCAGCTGGGGTCAGGAGGGCCCTCGTCCACTCCCACCAGCAGGGGGCACCGGGGCCCGGGTGGGCACCCTGCAGCTGGCATTTGATCCGTGGGTAGTGACTGCCCCGTGGGTTGGAGGAGCAGAGATGAGTGCTTCATTAGCGTTCTGCCCTGGGCTCATGTGTGCGCTATGTGTGTACGCAGCTGTCCCGCACAGCAAATGGCCCAAAGGGTGGGAGAAGAGGTCTGAGCTGGCCCTGCCACCCCCGGCACGCACCTGGTAGAAAGCCGGCTCCCGGAGCCAGTGCTTCCAGAGCAGCAGGGGCTGGGCAACCGCGGGGGCCAACAGGGGGCTGTGCTCGCCTGGCTCCTCCTCACGCGGCCGGCGCCTCTCCCGGGTGCCCAGGTGGAACAGCAGTGAGAACACGGCACCAACACCCACCACCATCAGGGACAGATTCTGGGGACGCGGCAGAAGCAGTCAGCAGCAGCTGGCCCAGCCCCTGCCCCAAGGACTTCAGGCAACACACCCAGGCCCCAGCTCACCCGGAACACGGGCACGTCCTGGCCCCCCAGCTGGTCACTGACGCTGATGTCCTGGGTGGGCCCCACCCTCGACGAGCCCTGCAGGTGCAGCAGGAGCCAGGCAGCACCGTAGACAGTGATGTTGGCCACCACGGTGAACGCATACCTGGCGGGCAGACGGGCAGGGACTCAACAGGACCCTGGGAACCTGGGCCCCTTCTTCCCCAGGTGGCCGCGCCGTCGCAGCGCCTTGCGGAACCCCAACTGCTGGGAGATTCCAGCCACTGGCACACTGGGTGGCGGCCTCCAGGATACCTGTGCTGGCCTCAGTTTCCCCAGCCCGCAAGTTATCTGACACAGGACAGCTGTGACCAGCGGCTCCACCCTTCCTGCCTAGGACCAGGGTGCAGTTACTCAGCCAAGCAGTGTCCAGGCTGCAACCCAAAAGTCTGAGAACCCAGAGACTCAGAAGCCAGGATTCAGGAATAATTCTTCCCCAGACGCCGGGTGGCTGCAAGGCAAGGGCTCCCTGGTCTAGAAGCCTAGACAGGCGGGGAGTCTGAGCTGGGGGCTTTGGGAATCCCACCATGACTCAGCCTCCCTTTCTGAAAGTAGGAACCATGCCCCCCTCAAAGCCACGTGAGCACAGCAGGAGGTCAGCTGACAAAGTGCCTGCACACAGGAAGTGGCCAGGGCCCTGGGTATTGGGAAACCCCTGTCGTTAGTGCCTGCATCTGTCTCACAGCCATAATGGGGAACTGAAAGCCAGGGGAGGAGGCAGGGGGGCAAACAGTGGGCTCCCCCTACACTGCCTTCCTGATGAAGGCACTGTGGGGACCCTGGCTTTGGGCACCATTTGGGGCCGTGTCCTCCTCTGGAATACGAGGGAAGGAACAGTTCCCACCTCCCATTCCCTAGGGAGGGTTAAAGAAGCTGAGATTCAAGGGGCGGCGCAGTGGCTCACTCCTATAATCCCAGCAGTTCAGGAGCCTGAGGAAGGCAGATCACCTGAGGTCAGCAGTTCAAGACCAGCCTGGCCAACATGGTGAAACCCTGTCTCTACTAAAAATACAAAAATTAGCCGGGCATGGTGGCGCACGCCTGTAATCCCAGCTACTCAGGAGCGTGGGGCAGGGGAACTGCCTGAACCTGGGAGGCGGAGGTTGCAGTGAACCAAGATCACACCACTGCACTCCAGCCTGAGCAACAGAGCAAAACTCTGTCTCAAAACTATAAAAATAAAAAGAGGGGAGACTTGTGGGTGGGCCTGTTGAATCAGAGGATCCTTTGGGAGACAGGGCTTCCTGAAACCAGAGATTCTCCCTCCTGGCCTCAGAAGCAGCAGCCAGCCACTGTGACTTCCACACGTGGAAGATGACAAATTCCACCATCAACCAGGGAGGAGGTACCACCCCAACCTTCCATGAGACCCTAGGCCTGGACAACCCCTTGAATGCAGGCTCAAGACAGACCCTGAAGCACAACTCCGGCCCCCAACAGCCACGCTGGATCCTGACCCCTAGAAACCGTGAGAGGAGAATGTGTGATGGGCAGGCACACTGGCTTGTGCCTGTAATCCTGGCACTTCAGGAGGGCAAGGCAGGAGGAGCCCTTGAGCCTAAGAGTCCCCAGCCTGAGCAACATAGCAAGACCCCATCTCTACAAAACCTTTAAAAACCAGCCGGGTATGATGGCACGCTCCTGTGATCCCAGCTACTCAGGAGGCTGAGGCAGGAGGATTGCTCAAGCCCAGAGGTCAAGGCTGCAGTGAGCTGAGATCGAGCCACTGCACTCCAGCCTGGGCGACAGAGTGAGACCCCCTTCTTTAAAAAATAAACGTAGCTGGGCGTGGTGACTCACGCCTGTACTCCCAGCACTTTGGGAGGCCAAGGCAGGTGGATCACTTGAGGTCAGGAGTTTAAGACCAGCCTGGCCAACAAGGTGAAACACCATCTCTACAAAAATAGAAAAAAAACAGCCAGGCCTGATGCTGGGTGCCATTATCCCAGCTGCTCGGGAGGCTGAGGCAGGGGAATTGTCTGAACCCAGGAGGCAGAGGTTGCGGTGAGCCGAGATCACACCATTGCACTCCAGCCTGGGCAACAGAGCAAGACTCCATCTCAAAAAAATAAATAAATAGCATAAATTTAAACTGAACATAAAAGACTGTGTGGTCTCCAGCTGCTGCGTCTGTGGTGTCGCTGACTCATAAGCCAGACCCGCCCCACCCGGCCCTCGGGCAGGTGCCCAGGCTCCCACCTGAGTGCCGTGAGTTCCACCTTCTCGTGGTCGTTGGTGACGAGCTCTGGGATGAGGCTGAGGTGGGAGATCTGCGTGGAGGCCCAGCCAAACTGGAAGATCACGATGAACGGGCCGTAGTACAGGAGCGCGGCCCACTCGGGCGTGGCGGCCCCACAGCCCAGGCAGGGGCTGAAGATGAAGGGGAAGGACAGCAGGACACAGACAGTGCCTGTGGACAGGAGGGGAGGTCAGTCACAGGGCCTTCCCGCACCAGCCAGGGCTCCTGGGGTGGGGACACTGAGGGAGGACAGAGGGAAACCGAGGCACAGATGGAGATCCGCTCCCCCCCCCCACCATGCACACGGGCACACAGAAGCGAGGGGCTGCAGCCAGGGTTTCCCAGGCTTATGGCCCTGGTCACAAAAGGGGAAACTGAGATCAGATACCCAGGCTTAGTAGTCAGAAGAACTGCGGCACAGGAGGTTCCCCGGAAACCTGCCCCACACAGGTGCCCCAGTTACATCCACAGCCTCCTCCGGCTCCTATCCCTCGGGCACTGTCAAGCCTCCTGTGGGGCCTCGGGAAGTGGGAGGCCCTGGTGGGGCTGGGCTGGACCCTGCCCTCCCTAAGCTCCCCGTCTCTGTCAGCTCCTAAGGTGACCACTCCCTGGAGCTCCTGCCCCCAACCGAGATCCACTGTGCCAAGCCCCAGCCTTTCACATGCTCCAAAAAAAAAACCCTAAGACACTTTGGAACAAATGTCAGATCCTCCCTGCAGCCCATGGAGCCCTGTGCGACCTGCCCCCTCCCCTCCCTGCCCTGCCTTCTCTCCACCTCTCTCTGCCCCAGCCACTCAGCCTCCTCACTGTTCCTCCAACTGCCCCCGGGCCTTTGCATAGGCGTGCCTCTGCCTGGAGCAGTCTGGCTCTCACGTCTTGGCAAGACCGGCTACTTCTCACCTCTCAGCTCAACCGGAATGTCACCTCCTCAAACACCTCCTCTCCTGGCCCCTGCTGCCCCTACCTCACTTCAGCACACCCAGGAATTCTTTGTCTCTCCACTGGCTTTCCTCTGCAGACAGCAGGCTCCAAGGGGCCTGGGGAGACCCAACACGGAACTCAGTACTTCAATACCGTTTTTTGTTTTTTTTTTTTTGAGACTGAGTCTGGCCCTGGCGTTCAGGCTGGAGTGCCGTGGTGCAATCTTGGCTCATTGCAGCCTCCGTCTCCCAGGTTCAAGCGATCCTCCTGCCTCAGCCTCCCATGTAGCTGGGATTGCAGGCACCTGCTACCATGTCCAGCTCATTTTTCTATTTTTGGTAGTGATGGGGGTTTCACCACCTTGGCCAGGCTGGCCTCGAACTCCTGACCTCAAGTGATACGTCCTCCTTGGCTTCCCAAAGTGCTGGGATGACAGGCGTGAACCACTGCGCCCTGCTGTTACTTCAGTACCCTCTGAGTGAGCGAACTGTAACAATCGTGGACCTGACGCAGCCTGGAGGCGTGGGTGTCTTCCTGTTTTCCAGATGGGAAAACTGAGGCCTCTAGACTGAGCTGGAGCCAGGCCCCTTCCCTGCAGCCCTGCAGCCCTGCACTGCTCTCCTCCCAGCCTAGAGCACCTGGAGGGATGCCTGTACCAAGCCTGGTGGCTGAACCTCCTTCCTCCCTGCAGGCTCCAGAAGTGACCTCATCCCCAGACGCTGGGACTGCCCCGGACAGCTGGAATTGGAGAAGTGAAACCAAAACCACCCCCTCCTGGCGGTTTCCCTGGAACGCGGGCCTGGGAGGGTTTGTGCAGATTCCTGGGGTCCTGGGGTCATCCGGGGGCAGAGAACGGACTGTGGACTCTGGTGAGAAGGTCCCTTCTTGGCTGGACTCCCTGCTCCTGCTGACCAGTCTGAGTTAACCATTGCTGGGGCCGGGGGACTTTGGGCAAGTGACTGTGCCCCCTCTAGGCCTCAGTTTTCACACAACAGGGATGGTGGCCAGGAGTGGCGGCTCATCCTGTAATCCCAGCACTGAGGGAGGTTGAGGTGGGAGGATCACTTGA